ACGGCCCACGATGGGATGGGAGGGAGCTAGTGGAGATTCCACAGCAGCATTCTCATGTCTTATTCATCGCGCATATTTAATCGCGTGATCACTAACAGCAATATATAGCAGCAACATCACGGTGCAGTGAGAAGGGAGGTGGGCAGGAGCTGGAAGAAAATGCTGCAGGACAAGGACACATCGTGCGCACGCGCGCATCCAACAAGCAGAGGAAAACGTAGAACACGCACAGAGAAACAACAATAAACAGACACATACAGGTAAATACACATACACAATAAAAAAATTCACGATACCATACAAAATACAGAATACACAATACACGACATCATACTTACTATACACTGCTATATACGACACCATACACAATACCATACACGATACCAAAATACAATACCATACACAATACCCACCCTCGTACCACTCACCCACCCATTCTCCGTTCCACCAGCCACCTCCCCTCCCACGACCACCTGTATCAGCACATCTGTGACAACAGTTGCACGGACGGAATAAATAAGTAAGTACCGACGCGTCACAGCGAATACACTTCAAGTTGCTAATGCGCTTTAATCGCTAATATAATATAATATTGCGTCGATTGCTACGTGCAATAACCACGTGTGCGTTTATATACGATATAGCCATGATGCTATCTCTTCGATCGAATAACAAAGATATTCGCTTTACGCGTTTCCACCGATCATCATTGTTTAACTAAGAAATGCACCAGGAAGCCACGCTTTGCTGCAGCAGCTATTAAGCTGCATAATAAATATTATGGTAAACAGTAACGACGTACACTGTCATAGTTATTACAACATGTGCGTTCTGATGTCTTAGACGGAGATTGAATAATACATATATGAATGCACTCATGGCACTCAAAGCAAGATTAAAGCTTAATTATCGCTACTATTAAAGAGGTCACTGACACACCATCCCACACCACACACAAAACAAATGAATATTGATGCAGTAATATGAATTCCGTGTTACAACAGCTATATGTGTATATAATTATCTATGTCTACGTCCACGTCTACGTGTTTCTAAGCTAGATAGATTGAGCGAAAGGAAAGAAAGAAAGAATAAAAACAGAGAGAAGGAGAGAGAAAATCTGCAGAAGAGCTACTTGTTGGAACATCCAATCAGAAGGTTGATACGTCGTCCTCACGTGATACAGATCACCTCACTCATACACCTACTGCGATCGATGCCCGCCACTCACCGCAGAGATGCAGCCACGGAGGCGACGGTGGCGCCATCTAGCGGGCCGGGCGACAGCGACACCTGCTCCTCTAGTAGGCTGTTCATCTGCGAGTCTCTGTCGTCGCGCCTCGTCCTGTAAAGCCAGCCGCAGCAGCATGATCGTCTGCTTCCCACCAACACTCGCAGCACGTGCATCGCCGCCGCCCCGAGCGCGCGACGGCAGCACAGCTTTACATGCAGCCTGTTAATGCTACTGCTGCTGCTGCTGCTGCTGTTAATGCTGCTGCTGCTGCTACTGCTGTTGTTGTTGTTGTTGCTGCTGCTGCTGCTACTGTTGCTGCTGTTGATGATGCTGCTGCTGCTACTGTTGTTGTTGCTGCTGCTGTTGTTGTTGCTGCTCCGGTTGTTGTAGCTAGTGGTGCTGCTACTGCTGCTGCTGTTGTTGTTGCTGCTGCTGCTGTTGTTGCTGCTGCTAATGATGCTACTGCTGCTGCTGCTACTACTACTACTACTACTACTACTACTACTACTACTACTACTACTACTACTACTACTACTACTACTACTACTACTAC